AAAATATATAAGATACACGAACAACAATGATACAATCAACCATAATTTAGAATCTATTGTATCGTATCCCAAAACGTCAACGGACAAAAATAAACACACATAAATACCATGAAAAAAAGATAGTGTAATATCCCACAAGACAATTCTATAAAAATATTCCGCAAGAATACCCCTCAAGAGTGTCCGACAAGATTGTCGTACAAGAATATCCCACCAAAATATCCCACAAAAATGTCCTACAAGAGTGTTCCACAAGAGTGCCCCATAAAAGCATCATATAAGAATATCCCACGAACCAATACTACGAGAATGTTCCGTAAATGTCCCCCACAAGAGTATCGGACATTGCCTTTCAAGAGAATTTCGAAAGAATGTCCTATAAGAATATCCCACAAACATCTCCATCAAAAGAATGTCCTATATTAATGCCCCACAAGAGTGGGTCAATATTTTTTTCCGTAAAAATGTCTTATACAAATATCCCACAAAAAGGTCCTACAAGAATGATCCGCAAAAATGTTCCACAAGAGTGACCGACAAGAATGTCCTACGAACGAGAATGTCCCATAAGAATGTTCCGCAAGAATATCTTTCAACATCCCAAAAGTGTTCCACGAAAATAACCCATAAAAAGAATCCAATAGCACTATCATATAAAATATCCTACAAGGATATCTCATAAACATATCCTATAAGGATATCCCACAAAAATGTCCTACAAGAATGATCTATAAGAAGGATGGTCAATAAAATAATTCTACTAAAATATTCCACAAAAATATTCGACAAAATTGACCTTCAAAAATGCCCCACAAGAATATTCCACAAAAATATCCGTCAAAAAACATATATATCATATATCATAAACATGCCCTATAAAAACCATTTCGCCAAAGGGATCTCCAAAAATATTCCGCAAAAATATATGTCATACCAAAATATTTCACAAGAATGTCCTACAAAAGAATTCTGCAAAAGTGTCCCAAAAGAATCGCAATTTCACCAATAATATATCACACAAATATCATACAAGAATATTTATGCAAAAATAGCTCTCAAGAATAAACGCTATGCATAAAAATATTTTATACATATATTCCAATTAACATTTCGTAAAAATATCCCACAAAACAATCCTATAAATATATTCGTAAAAAAATCCTTAATTGTATCCTATGAAATCCATAATGAATTTAAGGCCGAGGATAGGTGACGAAAGCTAGCGAAAATGCATCCATATCAATAGAAATGAAATATATAACGCCATCCAATGCTAAAGGGCACATCAACCGGAGAAAAATACTTCATTTTTTTCATAGGCATGGGGCTATTAGAATAATAATTCTCAATATCTCGTTCATGAGGCAAAATATTAAAAATATATAAGATACACGAACAAGAATGATATAATCAACCATAACTTAGAATCTATTATATCGTATCCCAAAACGTCCACGGAAAAACAGATAAACAAACATAAATACAATCAAAAAAAATAGTGTAATATCCCACAAGACAATTCTATAAAAATATTCCGCAAGAATGTCCCTCAAAAGTGTCCGACAAGATTATCGTACAAGAATGTCCCACTAACATATCCCACAAAAATGTCCTACAAAAGTGTTCCACAAGAGTGCTCCATAAAAGCATCATATAAGAATATCCCACGAACCAATATTACGAAAATGTTCCGTAAATGTCCCCCACAAGAGCATCGGACATTGCCTTTCAAGAGAATTTCGAAAGAATATCCTGTAAGAATATCCCACAAATATCTCCATCAAAAAAATGTCCTATATTAATAACCCACAAGAATGGGTCAATATTTTGCTATAAAAATGTCTTATGCAAATATCCAACAAGAAGGTCCTATAAGAATGATCCGCAAATATCCAACAAGAAGGTCCTATAAGAATGATCCACAAAAATGTTCCACAAAAGTGACCGAAAAGAATGTCCTACGAAAATGTCCCATAAAAATATTCTGCAAGAATATCTTTCAATATGCCAAAAAGTGTGCCACAAAAATAACCCATAAAAGAATCCAATAAAAATATCATATAAAATATCCTACAAGGATATCTCAAAAAAATATCCTATAAGGATATTCTATAAAAATATCCTATAAAAATATCCTATAAGAATGATCTATAAGAAGGATGGTCAATAAAATAATTTTATTAACATATTCCACAAGAATATTCGCCAAAATAATCCTTCAAAAATGCCCAAAAAACATATACAACATAAATATGCCCTATAAAAATATTTCGCCAAAGGAATCTCCAAAAATAAATATTATACCAAAATATTTCATAAAAATATCCTACAGAATAATACAAAACATATTCCAAAAGAATCGTAAAATATCTAAATTACAAAAATATTTCACCAATTGCACAAATATCATATAAATATATGTATATAAAAATATCTTTTAATTATAAATATTATACAAAAAAAATTCTTTTGCAAAATATATTTCTATTTAAAATCAAATATAAGTAATAAAAACTAGCGAATATATATCCATATTAATCGAAATAAAATATATAATGCCACCTAATGCTAAAAATACATCTATCGAAGAAAAATATATCATTATTTGCATAAAAATAGAATTATTAATTATTCATTTATAAAAAAAAAAATATTAAAAATATATAAAATATATTAATAATAATATAAACGATATCATAATTTTAAATCTATCATATCATATCCCAAATCTAAACGAAAAAAACAAAATAAATATAAAAATATTTCCTAAAATAATTCTAGACGCGAAAAATAAATAAATAACGTATTTTTCTTTATTTATTAACATATAATATAAATTTAGTTCAATATAAATTTGAATTTATCAATATATTATATATTTTTTTAATTTTTGTATTTCGCAATTTATATATTTTCGAATAAATTTCATAAATTTTTATGTAATTATATAAATTAGAAATTAATATATAATATATTAATTATATTTAATATTGTTTAATTTTTATAATACCTTCTATATATATTTTCTATTAATTAATAATTTGAATAATTCCTGATTTTTTTAAAATATATATTTTAAATCTATATATATATATTAATATTCCAATATATCCCAACCAAATATTATCCTCCGTAACCGATCATATCTGTGGCATCCTGGGCCCGGTGCGGTGCTTTGGTAGAGATATTTATGACGACAAATGTCTTGTTCTTGGAAGTACGAGTATTTCTTGAAACGGTGTGAGTTCAATAGGGAGACATACCAATTTCGATCCGCTAGAAGGAAAATGGAGGAAACCCGAATTGTTCGGGTCTCTTTATTAAAAAAGAAACATTCCAGAATATTCCAGATATGCCATAAATATCAATAAATGCCTATACATTGAACCCCCAAACCACCCCAGCTGATCGGAAAATATGGCATACATAGTGTCGGGAAATAAACGCACAAGTCATTGCGACAGGTCCAAGAGAAACCCAACATACCCCTCCTCGATCCAAGGAGCTGGATCGAAGGAGCGAAGTTGATCTGAGGGTCGAGCAGGGCGAGCAGCGCCACTGGTGCACTTATTCATGCAGAAAGCATCGCACGAACGAGCGGGTACTAGCGAGAGATGTGCTTTTAATATTTTTTAGTTCCGAATTCACCAAGATGAGTTGGATGGCGGCCTTGCTGGCTGTGGGAGGGAGGATCTTGCAAACCTTCAGAACATCGTTTGTGCAACCTGAACAAATCTTGAAAGAACAATATCTCAAAACGAATACAGTACCAAAGAAGGTGCACTATTGGGAGCATGCCCGGCTACCCAAGCCAGCAGCGAACCAGACTGTCTTGCAACGAACCAAGGAAAAGGAGAACGAACCAAGGAAAAGGAGGAATTCAACATGCGCAGTCAAAAACCTGGTTCAACCATGTTCAACCATGTTTCCAGTTGAACACAAAGACCAACTTGATTTCCTATGAAGTGATTGTGACCAACCTCTTGGTGATTGAACTCAGGATGACCAGCAAAACCTACGTAGCTCGAAACGAACTCAACCGCCGTTTGAAGAATGGGCCGTGTGGGAAAGCTACTTGCATCACAGCCGTGTAGAGTTGTTCCTCCCATGTCTCAAAGAAGTGGGAGTAGGAGTAGCCTCGATTACAAGTCTCTTTATGATAGCTCCTGCCACTTGCATGTTGAAAACGAGCTGTCAAACATACCAAAGATGCTTTAGACAATCTATTTATTGTACATCTTGATAAGCGTTCATGTACATAGGAGTTTACAACTCTAAGAGCACGTCTTTTTCCCTTGCGCCCCACTCTTCTTGCCACAACTAGCCTGATTCACCTCTGCCTCTTGTGAGGTAGAAATCCTCGTGCCAGCAAAGACATCTTCGCCAATACAAGTGATCGATTCTGGGATGGTCACTTGTTCCAATGAGCTGCAATTCTCGAAGGCAAGGTCACCGATGTGAGCCACAGAGTTGGGGATGATCATTTCGGCCAAGGAGTGGCAGCAACTGAAAGCACCACATCCAATGGAAGTCACAGAATTGGGAATTGTGAATTGGACCAGGGACTGGCAGTTATTGAAAGCACCAGCCTTAATCGAGGTCATCGAGCTCTCGGCTGGGTTGGAAAATTGCACCTCTACCAACGAGCTGCAATTTTCGAAGGCACGATGTCCAACGAATGCGACGGAGCTGGGGATCGTCAAGCGTCTTAATGAGCTGCAATCACTGAACGCATAGTCTCCAATGGAAGTCACAGAGTTTGGGATGTCCACTTTCACCAAGGATTTACAGCCTCTAAAGGCCCCATCTTGGATCCAAGTCACAGAGTCTGGGATCTTTACAACCACCAACTCTTCAACTCCAGCAGATTTCCGGTTCGGGCATTCGACTGGAGCCATCGTGCCAAACAGGATCTGCACCTGGATGGAGCACCAAAAACACATCAACGACACAAAGAAATATGATGAAATATGAAACGACCTGCACCTGCAAAGTGTGTGGGAACTTGAGGCCAAGGGGGGGGCGAAAGCTAGCGCTCCAGAATGGGAAAGTGGAGGGCAGCGAGGTAGGAAAAAACACGGCGCTCTTTTTGGAGGCAGGGGTGAAAAGTCCTTTATATGTGGCTCTTTGCCCGGATCCTCCTGCGAGAGAAGAGAGAGAAGAGAGACGGAAAGACGAGAGACAGAGAGGAGAGAGAGAGAGAGAGAGGAGAGAGAGATGAGAGAGATGAGAAAGAGATGAGAGAGATGAGAGAGATGAGAGAGAGAGAGAGAGACAGTGAGACAGAGAGACAGTGAGACAGTGAGACAGTGAGAGTGAGCGAGTGCGGCTGCAAGATACGCAACGCTAACCGCATGCCAAAGAGCGACGACAGGACGGAGTCGAACTTGCGACGAAGAGGGAGGAGGGAGGGAGGGAGGGAAGGTGGGAGGAAGACAAGGAGGAGGAGAGGGGAGGTGGGGAGAGGGGAGGTGGGGAGAGGGGAGGTGGGGAGAGGGGAGGGGGGGGGGGGCTTCGACCTGAAAAATCAGGGGTTAGGATTTGCACCCGGTCGAAAGAAACCTTGCTATCGCAAGAGTAACTCCAGCTAGCTTCGCTAGCTTTCGTGACATGCCCAATTCAATTCTTTTGCAAATCCCTGGAGTCAGAACTCAAAAATCAATACTCAATCCCTTTTGACCCGTGCCCACCTCCGCACCAGCGCTGATGCCTGCCTCTGCCAGTGTTTTCTGATCATTCAACTGTTCGAGGTTGTAAAACAAATCCACAACCATCAGCTCTCGCGTCATATCATCGCATCCTTGCAACTCTTTTAACTGACGCTTAAAATCACGGACGGTGGCATCCTCAGCATGAACTGGAAGCAGGAAGGCAAACAACAAACATCGTTGATCCAAAGGCGCCAACATGTTGGAACGGGGGGTACAGCAAGATTCCTGAAACAAACAATGAAAACAATGCCCTGCATATACCTTGGATCACAATCAATCTAATGACAGGTTCCTTCAACAAACTGAACCCGCTAGCTCATTTGCCTTCCCCCAAGCGACCCAGCAATGAGAGGCCGTGTTCTACACATGTTGAAATCTGATGAGTGCTGTGACATGCTTGGCTCTGTAGTTACTACTACGGTGGAGGCCATCGCTATAGTAGTTGGAGGCCATCGCTTGAAGAGAATATGTGCTTGTTGAAACGGTCGCTAAAGGGGACCCCCTCTTCCAGCTAGAACGGAAGTTTCGTCTGATTTGGCTTCGGCACTGGGTTCACTTCAACCTCTTCCACCGTGCCATTCAGCTGCCGCAGGTTTATCTTCATGTCCGGCCATGGCTTTGCAACACCACAGGATCGGACTTAGAAGCTGTAACCAAGCATCATAATTCATTGTATGTCGTTGTGCTGTTCTGCCGCATCATCCGTGGAACCTAGAACCTCTACCGAGCTGGGTTCAATATCTGGCAGTTGATCTGCTTTACGCTGCACAAGCCCCAATCGTTCCGACTGACTTTGAATGATTCTCAGCTAACATCCTTCAGCTATTTCAGTGTGGCTTCTTCTGTCTTTGCTGGGGGACACCTTCAAGCTTCTCCAAAGGAACAAATCATTGGTGCAATTCCCACATAAAAAGGTTCTTCAGGGAGGT